AAAAGAGGAGGAAAAACGAAAAGAGCAGAAGAAAAAAAAAAGAGGGAATGGAAAAAATAAAAACACAATTAAACTACCATGACTCAGGCAGCCACTAAGTAAGTCTTCAATAACACGCTTAGATCAAAGATAGGAGAAGCACTGCCTCCTCTGACTAGATTTATTGGGATCAAGCACTATCATTTCCAGACTATTCCTGTGGTCTCGCTCTGAGATGAGCGAGCTACAGTCAAGCACACTTAGATAAGCCAATGATTATTCACTCATCCCCACTCCCCTCCCAAGAAAAGCCTAATTCACACGAATACACGTCCACCGAACCCACCAGCCTCACAGACAAGCATACTGAACACACAAGAACCATAAACCAACACCCACCCCCCCTCTCTCCTCCATACATCACCCTTTCACCCCATCATCTTCCTTCGCTCCTTCCTCCCAAATCCAGTCTTCTTTCCTTCCTTCCCTTTCCAATTCGTTACTCTTCCCTCCTCATTTTTTCTCTCTCTCTTGCCCTTCCTTCCCCTCTCTCTCTCTTCTCTCTTCCTTCCCTCTCCCTCTCTCTCCCTTCCTTCCCTTTCTCTATTCCCCCTCTCTCTCCCTCCCCTATCCCCCCTTCCTCCTTCCTCTCCCTCTCTCTCTCCTCTTCTTCCCCCTTCCTTTCTCCTCTCTTCCCTCCCTCCCCTCCCCCGTTCCCTCTCCCCTTCCCCCTACCTCTCCCCCTCCTCCCCTTCCCCCTTCCCCTTCCCCTCCCCCTAATCCCTTTCCCCTTCTTTAATTTCGTTTAAGGTTTTATTGATGTATTGAACTCTTCCCATCTACATGTGCGCATTGTATACGCACATTACACGTACACACGGTATTTTTCCAGGTGTGCACACTGGTATGCGACACCGACTTCGATGCCATAAGAGCGCCGGCTTTTCACTATTCATAGAACATTGATCCTTATGATCGTGTTTGTGAAAAGGGGGTTTTTTGGTTGTTTCCGGTTGAGAGAAAGAGAGAGAGAGAGAAAGAGAGAGAGAGAGAGACAGGAGAGAGAGAGAGAAGAGGAGAGAGTGAGAGAAGAGAGAGAGAGAGAGAGAGAGAGAGAGGAGAGAGGAGAGAGAGGAGAGAGAGAGAGAGAGAGAGAAGAGAGAGAGAAGAAGAGAGGACAGAGAGAGGAGAGAGAGAGAGAGAGAGGGAGGGAGGAGAGAGAGAGAGGAGTTAGGAGCGAGGGGGAAAGGAGGCGAGGGAGGGAGGGAGCAGAGAGAAGAGAGAGATGAGAGAGATGAAGAGAGAGACCAGAGAGAGAGATTGTAGAGAGAGATGAGCAGACGAGAGTAGAGAGAGAAGATAATGACAGAGAGAAAGAAGAGAAGAAAGAAGAAGAAACAGAAAAAGTCTAAATGTGAGCTATGACGTGCATGCCCATCCGCACACATGCACACACATGCTATATACTTCCCCCAACATACGCGAAAACTTTCAATCCACACCGACATTTCATCCTTCATATATTTCCACATATCCCCTTTTCCGACCCCTCTCCCCCCTTCCTTTATTTCTCTTCTCTTTTCTCTTTTCTCTTTCTCCTCTCTCTCTCTCTCTCTCTCTCTCTCTCTTCTCTCTCTCTCCTCTCTCTCTCTCTCTCTCCCCTCTTTCTCTCTCTCCCCTCTCTCTCTCTCTCTCCTCTCCCTCTCTCTCTTCTCTTTCTTCTCTCTCTCTCCCTCTCAAAAAAAAAAAAAAAAAATAATCGCTACGTATCCCTCCTTTCCCCCTCTCCCTCCCTCCCCTCCCTCTCCCTCCCTCCCACCCCCCCTCCACCACCCCCGCCGCCCGAAATAAGACGCCCAGAATCGCCCTACTCGTTCGCGGTCGTACTATATGCAAATGACATGCAAATAACCCGACAAGACTAACTATTCGGTCAGAAGCCAGCGGTCGGAGGTGCAGCAGCGACCGAGAACAGGAGTCGGGGGTGGGGGGGGGCGGAGAGACGCCATGTGCGGTGGGTGAGAAGCAGAAATGCCGTGTGACACTGAGAAGCAGAAACGTGTGTGTGGTCTGAGAAGCAGAAACGTTGTAAGTAGTAATGTCAAAAAATCTCTTACTTTCCCTTTCCCTCTCCCTCTACCTCTCTCACTGCCCTCCTCTCCCATTTCCTCTTTCTTTCCCTCTCCCACACCCTCTCCTTCCCACTCCCTCTCTCCTCTCCTTCCCTCTTCCACTCCCTTTCCTCCACTCTCCCTCTCTCATTCCTTCCCTCTCCCACTCTTTCCCCTTCCCTCTCCCACTCCCCCTCTCTTGTGGTTCTGCTTGTGTGATTCTCTCAGGGAATAGCCTCGCGCGCATCTCGAATTGACTCTCTCTCTCTCTCTCTCTCTCTCCTCTCTCCCCCCTCTCTTTCTCTCCCCTTTCCCCCCTCTCTCTCTCTCTCTCTCTCTCCCCCCCCTCTCTCTCTCTCTCTCTCTCCTTCTCTCTCTCCCTCCCCCCCCTCTCTCTCTCTCTCTTCTCTTCTTCGAAACAGTTAGCTTTTAAGAACACACAAGATGCATTAAGAAGGTCGCTGCTTTGGCGTTAAAAGCAGTTTTTCTAAGTAATATATATATTTTTTTATTCTATTGTTATGACTATCATTATTATTTCAGTTTGGTGCTTTTATCTTCATTGTTCTTTTATGTCGTCTGTATCATTATTGTTATCATCATTATCCTTTGCAATTTTACGAAGATATTATTATCGGTTCATAATGATATCGCAATATGAACATAATCCAAATTCGTGAAGGCATCATGTGAACCTTTAAAGATAAAGAAGTAAAAAAGAAAGATGATAATATAAGCATACACACACATAAACACACACACACACACACACACACATACACATACATATATATACATAATATATATATATATATATATATATATATATATATATATATATATATATATATATATATATATATATACATACACATACATATATATACATATATACACATAAAGCGACATTGACCTGACCTAGCGTAGTAAAAGTAAACATCTTTCTGGGCCTATTCATCTCTCTCACTCACACAATTCCTGGGCGTGAAATGGCAGACAAAAGACAAGTGTCAACATTTGTCTGCGAAAAAGAACATTTGGTTCTGTCTGAAGTGTCGCTTCCCCTCGCCACTTCTGTTTGTATTGCTCTCGCTGGTGAACGCTACAATATACATACATACATATATATATATATATATATATATATATATATATATATATATATATATATGTGTGTGTGTTGTGTGTGTGTGTGTGTGTGTGTGTGTGTGTGTGTGATGTGTGTGTGTGTGTGTGTGTGTGTGTGTGTGTGTGTGTGTGTGTGTGTGTGGTGTGTGTGTGTGTGTGTGTGGTGTGTGTGTGTGTGTGTATGCGTGTGTTGTGTGTATGTGTGTGTGTGTGTGTGTGCGTGCTGTGTTGTGTGCGTAATGTGTGTGTAAGTATGAAGTACAAGTATGAGTATGAGAATATAATATGAGTATAAAAATGAGTAAAAGCATGACTACGAGTATGAGAACGAACGTGTGCGTATGCGTGCGTGCTCATAAAAAAAACCCGCATCGTTATAAATAAGAAGCCACAGCCATCACCGCCTCTCATGGTTATTGACATGACACGTGAGATGACAAACAGCACACATTCAGGAAGCGAAACACTCATCTCAAGAGGCCGGCCATTTTTTTTTTTTTTTTTTTTAAACTCGAAATTGCCACCTTAACCGGTTGTGGCATGTAGGCTACGAGAGGTGAAGAAAGGGGAGAGGAGAGGAAAAGGGATGAAGAGGGGAGAAGGGGGACGAAAAAAGGAGTAGGAGAAGGAGAGGGAAAGGGAATGAGGGAGAGAGAAGGGGACAGAGAGAGGAGGAGGATGAAAGAAAGGAGGACGGAAAGAAAGGGAGTGAGGGAGAAGGAGAGTGAGAGAGAAAGGAGAGAGAAAGGAAGAAAAGAGAAGAAAAAATAAACAAGACAATAAAAAAAAAAAAAAAAAGGAAGAGACAGACACACAAACTTACCTCCGTATAAATTCCAGCAATTCTATCCATGATTTTCGCTTCTCTTTTTTTTTATTATATATTCCTTTTTTTTTCAATTTTTTTCCCCCTCTCCGAACGCCAGAATTGCGTCGTCTATTCGAGGTGTCCGAACACGTGTCGACCCGGATTTAAGAGACCCTTTTCCTCCGTAGAATCGAAGTCCGGTGAGCCTTTCGGACGAGTGGAGGGGAAGTGTCTCCTTTTATTTCTCTCTCGAACGATTTGTCCAAAAAAAAGTACTTTCTTTCTTTTTTTCTTTTCTTTTTCCTCTCTCTTCTGTTATCTCATTTTTTTCCTTTGTTATCTTTTTATTTTTTCCCCTTTTTTCTATCTCCTTGTTTCTCCTTTTTTATCTTTTTATTTCTTTCCCCTTTTTTATCTATCTCTTTGTTTCTCCTCCTTTAATTTTAATATTTTCTTTTCCTCTTATTTCAATATTTCTTCTTCTTCTTCGCTTCAAATTAAAAGGAAATTCTCACAATGACATCTTGAGTTTTCTTCTTCTTCCTCTTCCTTGCGAGTTTCTGTCACAAGATCGATTAATTCCTGGATTTGATTAAGATAAAAATTGTCTTCGCGTGACTTCGTCTCATTCTCCTCTTCCGCAAGCCCTTTCCGTCTTCTTTTTCTTCCTTTTATTCTCCTTTTTTTTCTCTCTCTTATTCCTCTGTAAAGCCCTGTCTCTCTCTTTCTTTAATTCTCTCTATCGTTTCCACTTTTTC